GGTCCATTAGTTTTCCAGTGATTTTTAAATTTTTTTGTCTTTCTTTTGAATTAACTCAATCTGAGAATATGAGCATTTGCAATTGAACTAATAACGATCTACCGGCGCAGTCATAAATTAAGTAGCAATCTTTATCCGTCCACTTACTAATACTTAATGGTATGCTTTATGATATGAATTCTGCTTATGCACGTCCTGATGCTATCCATTGATACCAAAAGCAACAGGACTGTACAACTGAAATATAATAGATAGTACTAAAACCACACAAAACACTCCGTTAGATTGNGTTAGATTGATCATAAAACCCAGTTAATTTTCTGTCAGATTAACTGTACTGTTATCAGTTCATTTGTGATCCATGAAAATGCTCCCGAATAACAAACACTATATGCAGGTATTGACCAAACTCGTGCAACCCCCGCAGACACTTTCACCACATTTGTTCCTCCCAACGCTTAGCTTTTCCAGCCTCATTCACGGGATTGAACAGGATATTGTCCCACATCAGACACAACATATCTGCACTGATATCCACTTACGTTTCTGCTTCTACTAGCCGAATGCTAATACAGAGTACGATTTCTCGAAATCGCCGTCGGTTGCCGATGCACCGGTTGAAAAATAGCGAAGCCTCAGCAAAAAAAGCGACCCAACTTTATTCATTAAAATGACTCATGCGATTGATACAGGCATTGCACTTTCATTTTGTCAATATTCTACTTACCCTTTGTCATTTTTGAGCACTGAAGGCAGTCGCTTTTGCATGGAGTCGACCAAGTTGACTGCCTAACAGCAATCGCCAATTTCCTCTTATACATACTGCACTCTGACTACTGAAGACCAGTGCCGAGGGCGCTAACTTATCCTTTGACTCGGAGAAGTTTGCGATAGCATTCAAATTCTACTTTCTGGGCGGTAATTAACATTAGACTTGATCCATTCAGAAACTGCATAAATGTGAAAAAAAAATATTTAATGAGGTTTAACCGTTTTTGACTGCCAACCGCAAGGGAGTAGATATACTAGCCATCTGTGAAAAATGTCACTTCCGTGAATGCATTTTGAGGGTAAAGTTATCGAAAACCTGTCTTATCAATGCAGGGAATTTTGCGATAGTCAGGCTGTTATATACAGGAGACCAACAACAAGGCGCTCAGTATTTGCTTCCCTTCCAACTCATTAGGCGGGATAGATATGTACTTCTTTCGTCGGGTAAAACGGAAATTCATTGAAAAACCAGGTCAGTAAATCAGCTCGCTCGTCAATAAACCGATTGTCAACTGAATGAGCGGCTCGATTTGAATTTGTTGGTGAAATCGATACGTGCTCTGCTTTGTTGATCTTTCAGTAACAGCTTCATATCAGGTAACCTCAGCTGCATTTCAAATTGAACTGTGAGGTAAAAACGGCTGCTTCTCCCAGACTGTCCTCCACATTGGTTGTTTACAATCTACCTCAGCTGCGATAAAATTTAACCATCGTCTTGCTTCGATCGGTTTTGTCTTTTTGGGTTTATGTCTTGCCAGAGAAATTTCGTTGATCATGTTATTAATTGGGTTTATGTTCACATCGAACTACTTGGAACTGAGTCATCGTGTTTGCGTGCTTCTCGGCCGCAACTATATACGGAAATCTCTTGAATGTTTCATCCGGTTGGAGCATGGTGATACTATAAGACGCTTATTCCAAGAGCCACACATCTGAAGATCCACCTTTATGTGTACTGCAATATATTTTTAGTTCTTTCAGGATTAAGGATAATGCGCGAGTAGTTTGTAGCCAAATAATTGATCAATTTATTTAGGCTGCAAAATTTTCATTAATCGGCATATTTACTGTGCACCGAATTAAAAAAAACTGCTATTTCAAATAGATGTGTTCAACCTAATAAAAACTAATGAAACAGTAATCATTCATGAGAAAGAATGAATTTTCATGCTGCTTTGCATAAAATATTTTCCTAATCTGAGCCGTAATCTTAAAACTACGGCATATTCTATCGCGACACTCAAGGTCGCACAAATTCCAACGTTGATAGAAGAGAACTAAGAACATTGAAGTAGGAGATAAAGTTCCGAACAAATCCACTTCACACATAGGCATCAATAAACAAGTATGATATTGGAAACTGTAGTGTATTCCCGAAACGAAACCATGTTTGTACAGCTCGCCAGGTATGCGTACCGGCAACCCTCTGCCAAGTCATTCATATACGCGTACCCAGAATGTGTATTTTCGTTACATTGGTTGATTTTCACTCAGTTTTCTGGTATATTCTGGTCGTTAACCGAATACCAATTCTTACTGTTTGTATGCTCTGCTTGTGTTTTTTGTTTTAGACGAAATCAGGCCCTGCAGCTTGATCTCAAACCGAATCAATGGCAACGCATCAAATTGTCGGATCGCGACCTTAGGGTACTCTACCTCCTTTTTGAACCGTTCATTTAGTTGTCTTGAGCTTTCACATATGATGCTTTTCTCCATATAATTGTTAAACGCCTCATCGGTTCATGTTTGGGTCGTTGTGTTCGTTACTTCAATCCCAGCAGTATCCACACACCACCTAGTTGTGTGCAATGGGCAGGTTTTGACCATCACTGTTTACTTTTTACTAGCTTGCCCTACGAATGGGTGCCGAACTGACGGAATGTTTCTACCGCAATCGAATAGTCACGCGCCTGCAAATTCTGAATCAGAATCCCTCGACATGGTGGTCCACGTTTTCCCTGACGAACGAGGATTTTCTCGGTGAGTCAGCCCCTTTTCTCAAAACCGCATTCTCCATGTGCCGATCACTGTTATAGAATGATATTTTGTCTATGTGAATCGTGTGAATCCTTTCGTCGCTCAGTGAACACATTCCCCTGTTACGTGTCCTCAGAGCCCGACACCGCTAACATTCGACGAATTTATGCAACGCATCTGTCTGTTTGTGGATCGTGTTCAAAGAATTTAATTGCATCTATGGTAAAACATGGGTTTTGGACTACCATCTTTTATCTCCACTGCTACTCCTGATCAGTTCGCTTATTCGTGAATAACTAATAGTGAATATGTGGGGGATCTCCGGAAGTTTCACTGCGTCTGATGAGGTCCTTCTTCTTTGAGTCAGGCTTATCAAGTCGGAGAAAAAGTCTACGTTTCCCCTCATGTTCTCGAACAACAGTTTCAAGTGTGGTTTCTGTCTGGGGAGGGGACATACCGAATGGGGATATTTCTGTTTTCATAGTTGTGAACACAATATCCATCTACTTCTTCAAAAACCGAACAGGCGAAGTGAGATACGCGCTGTGGACTAATTTAATACACTTTTTTAAATGAAGGTGATCCAGGTCACCTTCATTGGCGTGAACTGTGATTCCGCATTCGAAGTTATAACCGTTTTGCCTACCCTCTCCTCAACCACCGCCATGTAAAATTTGATAGTTCCGCCGTTCGCTTTCGTGCTATCGTAGTCTTGGTCTTGTGCTGTCGCTCCCAATCCCGGGGCTCACTCTACTTTCCAAAATGGAACTGTAAGCCATCGTGACTACGGAGTTCATCATGTCTTCTGTACAACATATCAACATGTATAATAAAGCACATTAACCGAGTGGTTATTGGTGATATGAGACGTAATTTGCGCTGCGTACTGTCTCAAAATTCAGTGGTGATACTTGAAAATATTCTCAGAACGTTGGTTACAACCCATAAAAACATTACGTCGAAAACAGGGGTTTCGAAACCGATAATGAATGTTTAGGTAAAGAATAGGCTTCACTTTTTCAGTGGAATTAAAAGTAACTATATTTTATTAAATCATGGAAGCATTACAAGATTACCTTTTGGCAATGGTTAGAAGCAAGTTTGTTGACAACTTGGAAAATGAAAATAATAACCTAACAACAGATGGACAAAGAAATTTGAAATCGACTAGACGTGCTTCTTAGTCTTACATCGTTCAGACCAAGAAAAGCCCTGCGGCTATCGACTCTCGGGCGTTGAACATTTCGTCGCTGACCAAGTTGCTCTTTCCGTGAACACCTTGCTATTTGTAAATTTTTGCGCCCTTTGAGATTCGATGAATCGATTTCTAATTTTGTAGTGGATTGTGCTTTGTTAAAGCATACAAGTTATCTTTATTTGCGGACCTAATAGATATCTTTCTTGCGTAATGCATTTCAAGTTTCTCTGAAAACCGATACGATCGATTGGCCGTCATTAATCGTTTTTAGCTTGTCAGTGCATCGCTTGTGGCATTTTAGTGGTTCCGTCAGGCAACTGCAACTTATCCGCCCTGATGTCAAAGTTGTGTGGGTTAGTTTTTCGTTTCCATTGATCGCACTGATCAGATTCAGTCGGGCATATATTCTTCAAGTATTTTTTCACACTTCGGGCAACAATTAACGTAACTAGTAGGTACTATTTAAATTGATTGAATTACAGACAGTGTTGTAAAAGTAAAGTCGCGGGAGGGGGGTCGCGGTTCCAACTCACATTTCACTGGATGCCATTTCGCGTTCCGTATTGTCGGATGCCCCTTCACATGATCAGTGGCGAAATAATGGGTGGAGGACCGACTGTGAAAAAGTGAGCACCACTTCAATCTGTTAACAGTTACAATAATGGTTAGTGGTTGTACTCGAGAACATTCCGTTCGTAGCCCTGTGACATCATATATATATATATATATATACATATATACATATATACATATATACATATATATAACCCACTTACAAAACATCGAATCATAGCATTGATTCTCCAATGGACTGGCTCTGAAAGAGCTGTCTATCCAATAGTCACCAGGTGTTGCAAACAAGGTTCTTGTGACGAAAATACACTTCCTGGGTACAAGTATATGAATGAACTGGCAAAAGATTACCGGATAC